GAATCCTAATTCTAATCCTAACTGGCAGACTCTTAATACTTTGCAAAATGATCTATACATGTAAACAACCTTTTTTCTTATCAGCTCAAATATTCAGCATAAATGATAATAAATTGCTTTGCTGCTTGCCAGATTTCTGAGTGCCAGATCCAAAGAAAAGGTTAAAGACCTTTCATATTCCCAGCATTACAGTTCAGATACTTATGAATCACTGGCTGTGTACATAGATAAGTAGATCATTAGTTGTATTTAGTGGAAAAGCTTTTCTACTGCATGACTAGCTTGGAAGTTTTCTCTTCAAGTAACCGTGGGAGTAAGTTCCATGGAGAAATCATCATAAATACACACCTCTGCATCTATGCAGAAAAAGCTCCAGCTTATGTATGGCAGAAATAAAGGTTTTATACTGCTTGGGAGCAAAATGAAATAAATATTTCAACCTGGGAGTGGCATTTCAAAGACTGCACTGCAGCTGCATTTTGTGGGAGCATTGTACCCTATGTGCAGGAGAATTATCTTGACATTTTTCCAATCAACCCAAAGAAAGTATATGCAACATTTAATGATTATCATTAAACATTTTAATATGATGCTTTCTAGTTGTATAGGAACTACAAATCTTAAAATTTCCAGTGTACATGTGAAAATTTAAGACCCAAGATCCAAAGTTTATCCTAGTTTACCATGTTCAAGAATTATACATGTATATAATATATAGTTTGCTCATTGCAGCATTTTCTGTAGCTTATGACTCCTAATTTCTAGATTTAATAACGAAGTTCATCAGGCAAACCTACATTACAGGCTGCTGCAAGTATAAATAAACTTAAGATTCTCATGGCATCATTTCTATTATCTCTTTCAAGTTATGATGTCCTATACTGTTTGCAGTTGATGATTTAAAACTTAGATGTATGATTAAACACATTTAGGAAATGATTTTTGAGTAAACCTAAGATACAGTTGCAACCATAGTTCAGAAAAATTAATATCATATATCATGATTGATATCTACCTGCATAGCTTATTCTTTCTCCTGCTTTAGAAGAAACAATCCTATTATCAAAGTAGTTTTTCAAACAGCAGAAGGCATCATATTAGCTTGACCTGTAATTATGTCTCAAAAGATCCACAACAGATGTTGTGGTTTACTAATTAAACATTGCCAATAACTACTAGCAGCTATCCACAGTAGACTTTATAGCAGGATCCTTGCACCTTTGTCATTTTGTGTGGCTTTCAAAATCTTAAAAGTTACAGAGGTTGAGACATGCTGCTTTATATTAAAGTAAAATTGCACCGAACTCCTGTTGACTTCATGATCATATATGCAGTTAGTTTTGTTGGCTACCATATAGAAGTGGTTAGTCACTGCTTTTTTCAAGGCTTTTTTCCTTTAGATTTTGCAGATTAATGTTCCATTATTCCTTTGAAGTCTCCCATCCAAATACCAATAAGCCTTGACCCTGCTTTTAACGTTCCTGTTCAGATAAGGTCTGCTGAATGCTAACAGCAGCCGATATGTCTCACCTTCTTATAATTGCTCATTTTCTGTGCTGTGAAACCAAGAATGAAATGCAGACACAGAGTTCACCCCTTCTATCATACACTTAGTAGTATCAGTTTATTCCACAAATTATAATTATATACTTAATATTGTCAAAATCATCTTCCTCTTGCCAATGAAGAAAAGGTTTCTTGGAATAATCTCTCTTTTTGATATCTTTTTAAGGTTTAAAGATACAAAGATAAAAAAGAAAAATACTAAGAAAAATATATAAAGTGAAAAGAAAGAAGAAGAGGCATAGAAAAAGGAAAAGATATATAAAAATGACTATCAAGATAAATATACTATCAGTAACTTATTACCTTGTCTGACATTTCATCAAAATATCTAATCTTTATATATAAATTATGATGTCCCATCATTCAGCCCTACACAGCAAAAGTACATTAAGAGATACCAAAAGTAACACATATATTTTAACCCCAATCAAATAAATCAAATTTGTATTCCTTTATTTTTAACACAGTAGCATAACATTTTCTTTAACAATACAACAAAAATTATTCTTTCCATATCTTATCTCTTATCTATAAACAAATCCTTAAAACTTTGTGATTTTGATCTAATGAATACAAATACAAGTCTAAATTTGATCAAATAAACCTATTTTGTATTCCTTTTGTTCACTTTTAAAAATCCTGAGTTTTAATCCCTTCATATAATGTCCCACAAATTGAGCTCTTATCATTTACTTTTACTTTTGGCACATCTCTTTTGTATATCCAAGACAATAAAGCTATCCAAGTCACTCTTCTGGTTTATTATTTGTATATCCTCTTTAAGTTATTAAGACATCAGCTGGTTTCATTTGTAAATTCAGTGTAAAAGCATTTTGCATATCACTCTTGAAGCTTGATATTTTAAAATCCATTTTCACATACACATTCAGATGAGCCCTTTTCTATTTCATCCAGTAAAATCTATTCCTTTTTTAAAAATCCATTTTTATAATAGCAAACTATCTTAAAAATAATTAGTGCTTTTTTCTTAAAGGCCTTGAATTATTCTACATTCAAATAATACTACTCTATTCTGTATTAATGGATCTCTTCTCCTTTAATTATAATATTTAGTTCTTTCTATTTTTCCCTAATCAACTTTTTAGTTCCCTTGTATCATTTTTATTCAACAATAAAAATACAATTGTAAAGTTTCTTACAATTAGTTTCAAAATCTTTATGTATGTGTGTATAATTTTCAAAACTCTCCCAAACCAACATTTGAGTAGCCCTTTCATTGTTCGTTTAAGTCCTTTAAGTAAATTTAAGCACTTCATGAAATTTCATGAAATTTCTTTTATCAAGAATAGAAGGAAATTTACACAGAGTAACGAAACTTCTGAAGACTCTTGACATCCATAAAAACATTAACAAAAAATTTCCAAAAGTGGCTAAGAAAAAAAGTATGAAAACACAGTTTTAAGGTATTGAACTGTGGCTTAGATGAGGTGACTTTCCTTCAGCTCCCAGAGTTCTAAAAACCGTTAGAGACTCTTACAGTTTCCTCATGGGGCACCACTGTATGGAGTACATGTGGGTGATCCAGGTCCTTTCATTATTCCAGAGAGGAATTCTGAGCTGATCTATTCACCACCTTCTGTTTCTGCTGTGGTCATTAGCTTTGCTCTTGTGGAACAGTTTTCAGTCCATCAGTGCTTCCCACAAGCTATTTCTTGGGATTCTTCCATAGTTAATATGCGTGAGCCCCCGCATTCCAAAATTAAATTAGATAAATCTGAACAAATGCAGCATCTGTACTAATCACAATGGCCCTAAAGTGGTGCTGACAGGTTTTAGAAAAATGTTCACATAAATCTGAGCAAAGGTACCATGACATCTAAATCCAGCTGCAATCAGTTAACCGATAGCTGAGAGAATGTTAACTTAAAAATACATTTAACCGAAATGTGCTATGACTGGAATAGGTGGAGAGGAAATCCTTTTGACATTGTTTACAAAGACTTGGCACCAATCCACTAGATGCTGCACAACCTGTGATCCAATACCTGGAACTGAATAATCCTGCAGCTCTTTCTGTGCTGGAGTAAATTGCTCATACTGCATGTACATTACACTTGCCACATGCTACCCTTTCTCCATCCTCTGCTTGAATTACAATGGAGGTTTCTCTCCGACTGCAGCAATCTCCTCATCCCATCATCTTCTCCCAAATCCTGTCACGACAGTTCTTTGGACTGCTTTTTTTTACAAACCATTAATTTAGAAATACTTCCACTGACATCATGGGGATTATGTGATAACAACCACAAATAGCTGCAATCAAACAACCGGCTCTTATAGCCTATGTTACAGTTTAGAGACAACTAGGGGTTTCGCCCCCCCACCCCCCCCAAGGAAACACATTATCTTTCAAATTTTTTGACTTTGCAAGTCCTTTATTTCAGGCTGTAAAGGCACCTAAACACAAATTGTTATTGAAGTTCATAATTAGCAATCTTCCACTAATTTATTTAGACATTATGCCAAGTTGCATCTACTCTCTCAGCTTTTTCTTTCCTCTTGAGCTTTCTTCAACCCCCTTCTCCGCAAAGCGGTATTATTCAGCCTTCTAAAGTGCCTCTCAGAAGCGATTTTGTCATTCCCCATTCGTCTGTATACATTTATTCTAGGATTTTTCCCTGGACCACCCAGCAAGTTCCATAAACTGAACAGGAATATCATTCCACTGCATTTCACCCACCCCAAAGTCAAGCTGCAATCAATTAACTGATACTACAATCTTAAGATCTAAGAAATGTACCAGCTCAAGAAGTATGTATTGATTTCCACTAAACTTTCTTCTGGGAGAAGGCTAAAATCCCCCTTCCCACGTGGGAGTAAGTGGTAGCCATTTCTGTACCCCAAAACTGCATCACCCCTTCCCAGTCTCAGCCTCCTGCAAGCCCCACAACAGTTAGCAAAATGCTGCCCTCTGGAATCAATGGCATCTCATTCTTGAGGTGCAGAAAGCAAGCCCTTTCACGGGCCAAGCTCTTCGCATGTTCACACTTCAAATTCTGTTTATATTGTATTAATGTTTGGGCTAAATCTTCTGAGACCATAGGATAACTGGCTGGCAGCTACTTGTTCCCTCTCCATTTAGGAATCCAGAAGCAAAGACCGGCATCCTCTGGTCCCTGCGCTCCCTTCCTTCCAACTACGAAGGCTCTTTCTGAACAGGGAGTTCAGTTTTCTGGATCCAAGTTAAGGTCGCCGAATCTGGGGCTCTTGTAGCTTCCTAGAAGTGCTCCTGAGCATCCACAGAGTACACTCTCCTCACTACTTAGAGAGCCATCCTAAGACACGTTCCCCACCCGCCCAAGATCTAACGGATCCTGGGATCCTGCAGCATGAAAGTCTCCCCCCCAAGCTGAAGGGGTCCGCCTCGTCATTTGTCGAGGTCCGTATGAAAATGCCAACCGTTCACGACTTACCAGAAATCCCGGCACCTCCGCCGGACAGTCCGTGGCCGAAGATGCTCTCCCCACCTCTCCAGCGTGAACCGCCGCGCCTCCAGAGGCGGCAGTCGGCACTACCGCGCTACGGCTGCGACTCCTGCGGCGAGAAGCGCCGATTCCAACGGGAGCCAGCCTGGCGAGCCGGGAACCCTCCGCAATCCCCTTCGGCAAATTAAACGGAGCAGGCGGGGAAGGAGGGAAGGACACGCCGCCAGGGACCGAGCAAGCGCGGCGTCCAGGGCATCCGCCTCACTCCAGGCGCGGGTGGTGAAGGCGAGAGAGGAGAAACCCCACACACACATACACACATACAGCAGGCAGTTTCTCCGACTCAGGAATTTTGATACGGGAGGGAGGGAGGGAAAAAAAAAAACCGCACACGACTCTAGTCTAATAGCCACCGCTGCGCCACCGCGAGAGGAGGAGCGCCAGCAGAGCAGGAGAGGACAGCGCGAAAGCATCGCCGGCAATGCGCATGAGCGCCGGCTCGCAAGACTCGCCACCGCCGGCACTGCTGGCGGCGGCGGCGGCGGCGGCGGTCAAATGACGAGAGTGGCGAGCTGGCGGCCTTCATTCAGGGCGAAGGAAGTCGCGGCCGCCTTGGTCCTTCGGTCGACCGCCAAGCCAGCCGCTTCCTCCGTCTCGTCGTCTTGCTGGGCACTCGCGCTTCTCCGTCCGCACCTCTCCGACCTCGGAGGAGGAGCGCACGGCGCTCCCCTGAACTTTCCGTCGGAGCAATATTCCCAGCCAGGCTTTTTCTTCGAGGGGAATCTCCCCCCCCTCCCTTCTCTCCTCTCCGGGGCGTCAGATTGCTCAATCTCGCCTGGCTTGGCAAGTGAAAGATCCCTGCGCGGGCAGGAACGGCCAAGTTTTAAACCGGGCAGATGGTGACCAGTGCAGCCTTTAACTGGGTCAGTGGGCCGTCATACGTCGAAGGCTTGAAGGGCTTATGCGATCATCCCGATCGGGTGATTTCAATCAAGTCTGATGCGCTTTGATGAATCACTGCAGGCATCACAGCATCTCTTAGCCATCAGTGGTTTCACCCAGAAGGAGAGAGGTTTTATTGTCTGGTGGCAGAAAAATCAGAAGGAATCTTGTGCCACCTTTTCAGACTGATGCATTTTATTAAAAGACAAGCTTTTGTGAGTTGCAGCCCCCTTCAGTTGCAGTACAACGACTTGGCTGTTGTAAGATTCAAACTGGGCCTGAAAGGGGGAAAGAAAGGTTGATGCATATATAAGTTATCTGAGAGATAGAGGACTGTACAGGGCAAGCGCTTATCAGTTAATAGGTGTAATGCATTACAACCCATTGTGTTTGTTGACACCTTCTGAGATGTGATGATGTGAGTTCAGCAACCACCTACTCAATGGTGGAGTCCCAGTTGTCTAAAATGCTCACTTTGAGGCTGCCTATAGTCACTAGAGAGTGTCCTGGGAAATTGATTTGGCTGCATCTCAGCATCTGCAATGTACAAATTCTGCAGACAGTGAAAAAGTAAAAAGACATATGTATCTGATGGGGTGAGACAGGGAGTTCCAGCCCTTCCTTGTTCGTGTAATGATTCCAGTCCAATCCAGTCATTGCAGAGGAATGTTTTAACTATCCAGCCTTCAGACAAAACCAAGAAGTGTTAGTCATCATAAAGCTGATGTAATATTGACCAACAGACATAGTAACTGGCTAGACATTGTGGATCATCTAGTATAACATTCATATATAAGACTTATCAATGATTTATGATAAACAGTATCATGAAAATATAGCCGCCAAATTATTTATTTATTTATTTGATTTCTATAGCAGCCCATCTCAACTAGTGATTCTAGGTGGAAAACATCATACTATGCCATACAATGAAAAGAAAAGTAACAACTTTCAGTAAGAATCTTTATAACTGTTGCATTATTTATAAACTGCACTCTATTAAAATAAAATAAGAATCTTAGTGGTACCTCTGTTCAGAAGGTAAGACCAGGAAGCAATATGACTACTCTAGATGACATCTTATAGAAAAATGCCAAAAATATGCAGAAATATAACCCACCTTATCTTAGATCTCTCTCCCCCCCACCCCAATGAATCAAATTTAGTTCTATCTACAACATTAAATCAGTCTTCATCTCGATGCTCCATGTGTTAAACAGTTGAAAATTGTGAGCTGAAATACTGTGTTTATGATTTCTGGAGGGTGGGATGGACATTGAATCAGGTTTGACTCTTGGCGTCTGACTCCCCAGGTCCCTGCAGTGTTTTGGGCAACATTTTTAGCAGTGGTTCTTCCTAAAGTTGAAGGAGAGTCTTGGGTGATTCTATGCCTAAGGCAGCTTTAGAACTTAGGCCGCCAATTCTACTTCAAAACCTTAACATTAGACCAAACTGTCTCACTCTCTGAGACGTTGGCTAATATCAAATATGATTGATCACTGTCTTTCTGCCACATAATCACCATAATATAATCACCAGCAGAAGATAAAATGTAGTTTGAATTCATATGATCATACATGGTAACACTTTTCATTTAGCATTTTCCCTTGGTGCATGGATGTGTGACTACCAGATCTACAATATTGTATTGTGTAAAACCACTTTTCACTGTTTAATGTATGTTCTATTAAAATATGTGGAGACTATATAGACTATTCTAGGTTACGGTATTTTGCCCAATTCAATGGAAGCTCTTTCTTTGAATAAACACACCTCTGTACGTTTCAGTGCCATTTAGGGAACAGACTGAAAGGCAGCCATTATACCCTAACTGAACTGAAACTAATTTGCAGTTATTACAATGGTTGTACTTTATTTGCAACACACATGGCTAAAAATAATGTTGGGCATTTTTCATCCCCAGTTATATTGTGCATGGTAAGACGTTTTATCAGGAAGTGGTGGAAGCAGGGAGAGTAAGCAACTGGTTTATGCAAGACTGCTCAGTTGTTTCATTTTCAGTAAAACCTTGAATTTTCTTTGTGTTAGCAAAGTCTGATTCAGGTTTGCTGTTTTGCATTTTAAATAGTTTCACAACACAAAGTAGCAAGATTTAATTACAGAAAGTACCCTAAAACAAATCCTTTTTATAATTGTACATAGATTAAATATGTAAGTGGTTTTTATTGTTGCCATGATTATGTGGCTCATCATTTAATGAAATAATTAATTGTAGAGGAAGTGTTACTGTGTAACGAATCATAGCTTTGTATGCATGTGTGAGACACTGTGCTTGCAGATAAGTCTATTAAAAATGTGTTATGTTCAACATGACTAGGGAAGTGCATTTTGGATACTGACTTTTTTTTAATCCGACAATTTTTATTCTTTAGCCAGAGGTGGCCCTTAAGGAATTCGTAATGGTCACTAGACATCATGGTCAATAGTGAAAAACACTGAGAGTTGTATGTGGAATATGTGGAGAACCACTCTTGTTTCCTATGAATTCCTTGAATTCATGGAATAATAGAAACAGTTATTGAAAATCAATACCTTAGGATTAGAGGCAACATATAGATACATTCCACACTGCTGCTTTAATAGCAAATCTCAATTTCAAGGTCATTGAGCAGCATTGTCTAAAGATATTTCTGCAGTCATGTGGCCCTAATGACATCACAGAGCACTGTTACCTTCACACCAAAGTAGTACCTATTTATCTACCCACATTTGCATGGTTTCAAACTACTAGGTTGGCAGAAACGAGTGAGGATGGGAATTTACCCTATCATGTGGTGCTCAGGCCAGCTTTCCAGCCAACATGCCCAGTATCTTTACTGCTGAGCCCCCGTGTTGCCCCAATAGAAGCAGGTAATAGCCAAAATCTTTCCATAAAAACGGAAAGTAAATCTTGTTTACACTAATATTTTGAAAAATACAGATGATACCACGTTATTAGCTGAATGTAAGGAAAACCTAAGGGCAGATTACGTAAGTGAAATCTTAATCAGCATGCTTAATATCAACCAACATTTTAATAAGCTACAGTTAATGGCAAAGAAGTGAAATTGGTAAGTAGATTTATGGTTTTGGTTCAAGAAGAGGTAAAGTTGAACAATGTCAAATTTCCAGCAGCCATGTCAATAAATCTCTGTTCTGCAGAAACTCAATCCTACATGTTGTAACTAGCTAACAATAAAAACTTTTCTAGATTCAGCTTGAGTAATTTGCTTTATTACAGAGGAAAAAAGTCATATGTATGTATGTATGTATGTATGTTAGTTATTCAGCTTTGTTCGGGTATTTTCCCATGTCATTATAGTTGTGCTTTTAAAGTTGTAGCAGCGTTTCGGCAGAATCTCATCTGCCATCATCAGGCTTCTGTATTGTGTTCATCTGTGAGTCAGACTTTCACAGCCATTTCTGTTTTAAATTTGGTGCTAGCCTACTGCTGTGCCAGAATGATTTTTTCTTCATCCTGATTGGTTGGGAGTATTGGTCTGTGTTTATTGGTCTTGGAGTTTGCTGTGTTCTGCTTGATTGGTGTTTCTAATATCTTCTGTCTGTTTTGTAGCTTTTCTTTGGTCTTGATTGGCTGGCAACATTGTGTTTCCTGTATTGGAGGCTTTTAGTGCAGCTTGGCTCTGAGTAAACAGACGGCTATCATTTATTAGGAAGCTAGGTTTCATCTGGGTGCCTGGTTGGGGTGTGTTTGAGCTGGAGGTATCGGGGGGGGGGTCTGTTTGTGCCCAGGTGTTTGCCTGGCTTGCGGTGTGGAGTTTTTTTTATTTGTGAGTGCAGGCTTTCAGATAATGGACAGTCTGGTGAAATCATCTCTTCTATTCATGCTTTCAGGTCTTTTTTCTATGGCTTCTCTGATAATTCTGTAGCTGGGGTTTTCTATAGTAGCTAGGGTTTTGGTGCCATTGAAGTCGATGATATGACCTGTGGCTTTCATGTGTTGGACTAGTGAGGAAGTGTGTTCCAGCTTTTTTACTGCATTTTTGTGTTCATCTAGACGGGTACTTATTCTATTGGTCTGTCCAATGTATGTGGCAGGGCATGATGCACAGGGGACTTCATATATGCCTTGGTTTTCCAGGTCAATTTTATCTTTGGGGTTTCTTAGGATGGCTGCTATTTTTCTG